ATCTTATTCACAAAGTAAATTTCAAACCAAAACTGATTAAAAGAGACAAAGAAGGCCATTACATCCTTGTAAAGGGAACACTTCGAGAGGAAGAAATGACAATCATAAACATATATGCACCAAATATTAACACCCCAATTATATAAAAGAAATATTAAGAAACATGAAAAGCCAAATAACCACTAATACAACTGTAGTGGGGGATCTAAATACCCTACTTTCACAAATTGACAGATCATCTAGGCAAAAAATCAGCAATGAAATACTAGAACTGAACCAAGCTTTTGAATGCATGGACTTATTAGACGTCTATAAAGTGTTCCACCCTACAAAATCAGAATATACATTCTTTTCAGCTGCACATGGGTCATTCTCCAAGATAGACCCCATACTAGCTCACAGGACAGGTTTGAATAAGTGCAAAAGAATCAAAATTGTTCCCTTTATATTATCAGATCATAATGCAATCAAGCTGGAGATCAATAACAAGAAACCGTGGGAACTTCACAAACATATGGAAATTGAGCAACACTCTCCTGAACAATCAATGAATCACAGAGCAAATTAAAGAAGAAATCAGACAGTTTTTACACATAAATGAAAATGCCAGTAAAACATACAGGAATCTATGGGACACAATGAAAGCAGTTCTACATGGAAAATTCACAGCACTGAAGGCTCACACTAGGAAAACAGAGTGAGCTCAAATAAACAACCTAATGATGAATCTTAGACTCCTAAAAGAAAAAAGAGCAAGAAAAAACCCAAAGCTCAAACAAGAGAGGAAATTATAAAGATAAGACGAGAAATCATTGCAATGGAAACAAAGAAAACAGTACAAAAAATAAATGAATTGAAGAGTTGGTTTTAAAAATTGATAAACCCTTAGCTAATCTTTTCCAAAAAAGGAAAGAAAAGCTTCAGATCCATGCATTTAGGAATGAAAAAGGTGAAGTCACAACAGATCCAACAGAAATCCAAAGGATAATCAATACCTACTTTGAGAACCTGTACTCTAACAAAATGGAAAACACAGAAGAAATGGACAGATTTCTAAATGCTTATGAATTACCAAAGTTGAACAAAGAAGATAAAAACATTTTAAACACCCCAATTACAATCAAAGAAATTGAAAATGTAATTAAAAATTTACCAACAAAGAAAAGCCCAGGTCCTGATGGATTCATGGCTGAATTTTACAAGGCATTTAGAGAAGAACTACTGCCATTACTCTTCAAACTTTTCAATGAAATTGAAAGGGAAGCAATACTTCCAAACTCATTCCTGGAAGCAAGTATCACTTTGATTCCCAAACCAGGGAAAATCGCAACTAAAAAAGAGAACTACAGGCCAATCTCCTTAATGAATATAGATGCAAAAATCCTTAATAAGATACTAGCAAACAGAATACAGAGGATCATCAAGAACATCAAACATCCTGACCAAGTCGGATTTATTCCAGGGATGCAAGGATGGTTCAACATATGTAAGTCAATAAATGTAATACACTATATTAACAGAGTCAAAGACAAAAATCATATGGTCCTCTCGATAGATGCAGAAAAAGCATTTGACAAAATTCAACACCGATTCATGATAAAAACCCTACAAAAAATTGGAATAGATGGTGTATATCTCAACTTAATAAAGGCTATCTATGAAAAACCAACAGCCAACATCATATTAAATGGCCAAAAACTGCAAACCTTCACGTTAAAATCAGGAACAAGACAAGGATGCCCACTATCACCACTCCTCTTCAATATAGTTCTGGAAACATTAGCCATAGCAATTAGACAAGAGAAAGAAATTAAAGAAATAAAGATAGGAAAGGAAGAAGTTAAACTGTCATTATTTGCAGATGATATGATACTCTATATTGAAGACCCAAAAAACTCTACCAAAAGACTTCTATACTTATTTGACACTTTTAGCAGAGTAGCTGGATACAAGGTCAACACCCAAAAATCAATAGCCTTCTTATACACAAATAACAGAATGACTGAGAGAGAAATTAGGAAACAATTCCTTTCATAATAGCATCCAAAAAAATGAAGTATCTAGGAATCAATCTAACAAAAGAAGCAAAAGACCTCTACACTGAAAACTATAGCACTCTGAAAGAAGAGATTGAACAGGATGTAAGAAAATGGAAAGATATCCCCTGCTCCTGGGTAGGAAGAATCAACATAGTGAAAATGGCCATACTACCAAAACTGCTATACAGATTCAATGCAATGCCAATTGAAATTCCAACACTATATTTCACAGTACTAGAAAAAAGAATCCAAAAATTCATTTGGAACCATAAGAGACCTAGAATAGCAAAAGCCATCCTAGGGCAACAGACACATGGCAGCGGTTATAACCATTCCCAATTTGAAACTGTACTACAAAGCCACTGTGATAAAAACAGCATGGTACTGGCAAAGAAACAGACCTGAGGATCAGTGGAACAGACTGGAAGACACAAAAACAACTTCAGATGTACTTAGCTACCTCATCTTTGACAAAGGAGCTGACCATCCCCACTGGAGGAAAGATAGCCTCTTTAATAAATGGTGTTGGAAAAACTGGATCTCACCCTGCCAAAGATTAAAACTAAACCCTTGTCTTTCACCATACACTAAATTAAAATCCAAGTGGATTAAAAATCTAAATATTAAAACAGAAACACTAAACTTTCTGGAAGATAAGTTAGGCAGAAATCTTGAAGACATTGACACAGGAAAAGACTTTATGAACAAATCCTCAGTAGCATGGGAACTAGCAGAAAGAATCAACAACTGGGATCTCATCTTATTAAAAAGGTTCTGCACTGCAAAAGAAGCCATCAACAGAGCTAAGAGACAACTTACAATGTGGGAAAAAATTTCACCAGCTGCTTCTCAGACAAAGGACTATTACCTAGAATATATAAAGAACTCAAAATAATCAGCTCCCCAAAATACAAAGACCTGATTCAAAAATGGGCATCTGAAAGGCCGGGCGTGGTGGCGCATGCCTGTAATCCCAGCACTCGGGAGGCTGAGGCAGGAGGATCGCTGTGAGTTCGAGACCAGCTTCGGCTACATAGTAAGTTCCAGGTCAGTCTCAGCTACATAGAGAGACTCTGTCTCAAAAAACAAAACAAACAAACAAACAAACAAAAATGGGCATCTGAAATGAACAGACATTTCTCAGACAAGTAAAAGCAGCAAGTAAATATATGAAAAAATGTTCCACATCACTGGTCATTTGAGAGATGCAGATGAAAACAACACTGAGATTCCACCTCACCCCACAAAGAATGGCTGCTATCAAGAAATCACTCAATAACAAATGTTGGAGGGGTTGTGGGGAGAAAGGAACCCTTCTCCATTGTTGGTGGGAGTGCAGACTGGTGCAACCACTATGGAAGTCAATATGGAGATACCTCAAAGAACTAGGATTAGAGGTTCCATTTGACCTAGCCATCCCTCTGCTGGGTATCTTTCCAAAAGAATTAGAAGAATCATAGCACAGTGATATAGGCACACCTATGTTTATAGCAGCACAGTTTGTAATAGCTAAAATTTAGAAACAGCCCATTTTCCCATCAGTTGGAGACTGGATAAAGATGTGGTTTTTCTATAAAATGAAATACTACTCAGCCATAAAGAATGAGAAATTAGAGTCATTCATAGGAAAATGGATGCATATTGAGGATATACTCTTAAGTGAAATAAGTCACACATGTAAATACCAAATAGTTTCTCTGGTGTTAATAAACTGTAACAGTACATAAGATCCTATTGAGATAGCTGACATTGTGAAATGGGAAGAAAAGGACTAAAGGTGTAGGGGAGGTGGGATGGGTAGGGGAAGGGTAATAAGGGAAAAGAAAAAAATATGAGAAAATGAAAAAATGGAAATAAAGTGTTTGTAAATGGGGAGGGGAGGAGGGGGTGAAGGGAGGGCAGGGACAAGGGGGAAAAATGAGAACCAAGACCTGTCATGTAAAGGTACAAGATCCCAATAATGAATGTAATTGTACTGTATACCTAAAATGTACAAATGAACTCAATTTTTTAAAAAGGAAAAATATGAAAACAATGTCTCTGTAAACAGGGAAGGGTGGGGAGGTGAAGGAAGGCTGGGAAATGGGGAAAAATAAGAACTAAGTTAAGTCATAAAAAGGTAGAAGATCCCAATGATGAATGTAACTACTGTATACCTAAAATGTACCAATAAACTTAATTTTAAAAAGTCAAACCGTGTCCAACAGCTTTTTTCTTGTTTTTTTACAACACCTTCATCAGCACTACTCTTCCCTAATATGTATGTGACTGCTGACATACAACTGGAACGTAGTCATTCACAGATGTCTCAGTAAACCTGTTTTCTTAAATAACTTATAAATACTTTTAAGTTTAAGCCACTGCTACTGAGGCAGTGATTCACATCTACAGGAATGGGGTGGTCTCCAACTGTTGCCTGGTGAGCCAACAACAACCACCACACACACACACACACACACACACACACACACACACACCAATGTATTGCTGCCACAGAGTCACACATCACCGTAGGTAGGGGGACTGCCTTTGGCAGAGCGGATGATGGGTCTAGACCGCTTGGCCACTGTCTTGCAATGAGACTCACTATGAGTTATTTTCCCCTTCTGAGTCTATTTTTTCTATATGAAACATAAAAGGCAAGGACCCTTACACCTCAAACTGTAATGAGCATGAAGGACATAGGACTGGTGAAGCACGTCATCAGCAAATGGTCTCAATTATCAATTATCAATTCAGTGACAATCTCACGAGAGCAGGGTAGGGCCTCCGACTTGTGGAAATGGTACACTGTTAGAGCAATGCTGTACTAAAGTGACTGGTACTGTTGTTCCTGATTTCCACAGGTCCAAGCACGAACCTGACTTCATTATGTCAGGGAACAACGAAGCAGACGTTTAGCTGTGTACTCGGAGCGTGGCGACCGGGACACAAACAGATTTTCGAGGAGATGGTGTGATGTCGAGCCATTGAGGTCACCTCAGCGTTTCTTCACGGGGCCACCACTGGGGCTTGACTCCAACCCCGCCGAGCACTTTGACCAATGCCATCCTTACATCCCGGTTTCTCAGACTGTAGATGAGGGGGTTGAGTGTGGGAGTGATGAGGCTGTAGAAGAGGGAGACCATGTTGTCCTGGTGCGGGCTGTGGTAGGCGCTAGGTACCATGTACATGAACACTGCTGCACCGTAGAAGAGTCCCACCACTGTGATATGTGAGGAGCATGTGGCGAAGGCCTTGTTCCGCGCCTCCACTGAGCGCATGTGTAGAACAGCCTTCAACACTTGGCCGTAGGAGGTGGCGATGAGGGACAGGGGCAGCACGAGGATCAGAACCCCGGTCGCAGTCAGTGCCAACTCATAGGCGGAGGTGTCTGCACAGGAGAGCTTCAGCAGGGCCGGCATCTCGCAGAAGAAGTGGTCCACGATGTGGGAGGCACAGTAGGGGAAGTGCAGGGTGATGGACGTCTGGACGCAAGCATTGACCACAGCCACCATCCAGGAGGAGCCCACCATGAGCAGGCACACCTGGTGCCTCATGAGCACAGGATACTGCAGCGGGTAGCACACGGCAACGTAGCGGTCATAAGACATGAGGGCCAGCAGGACACCTTCAGCCACACCGATCACCATCAGGAAGAACATTTGAGCCGCACAGCCTCCGAAAGAAATGGAGCTTTCTCCTTGCAGAAAGTCTGATGCCATCTTGGGAATGGTGACCAGCGGGAAGCCAACGTCAAACAGGGACAGCTGGCTGAGCAAAAAATACATGGGTGTGTGGAGCCGCGAGTCCACACGGATCAAGAACAGCAGGATGGCGTTGCCCAGAAGGCCCGCGATGAACATGGCAGCCACGAGGGAGAAGAGGAGCTTGTGTGATCCTGAAGGGCCAAAGAGGTTCACTAGAATGAAGTCTGAAATCGCTGATGTGTTCACATCCATCATGCTTACTCAACACATTTTAGGAGCAAGAAAAGTCAGGAGACCAAGGCAAGACACCAGAGTGTGGAAGGAAAATGATTTTCATCCTGTATGTCAAATGCCATCAACTGAAGGTGACTGCCTGGGATGCTGTCTTGGAAAGAGTTATAAAGCACAGCTAGATCAGGCCATAAAGGGGAATGAACAATTCTTTTTTTTTTTTTTTTCTTGCTACCGAGGATTGAACTCAGGGCCTTGTGCTTCCTAGACAGGCAGCAGAACCACTGAGCTAAGTCCCTGGGCCTGGAATGAACAACTCTTGATCAGTAGGTGATGTCTGCTAGAGTTACGGGAGAAAAGAGAATCGAGCTGCCTATCGGAATAAAACACTTGAAGGCACCACCCACGAACGATGTCCACTAATCCTTTCAGTCAAAAATTGGAGTTCCAAGTTAACGACAGTGCCAACACAGTCTTCGTGGAATAGTTCAATACCTCCCATCTCAGGAGTCCTGGGCCAAATGAGAAGGTAGACTCCAATAAGGCTGGGAGGTAAAATAGAGCCTGAAGCAACAAATTAATTTTTTAAAAAACAGAAAGATTTGGACCTCAATGCCTGCATGAGAACAGAGAACAAAGAGAAATCTGGCACAGAGATCAAGCTGATGGTGTGAGACTAACAAATTCAAATGGCATGGGCAGTACGGTAGTGTGTCTGGTGACAGTCGATGGGCTTCGCACCTGTGGGAGTTAGTTTACCTCATAGGCGAATTTTGTGCAGTGTATGCTAGATGGGGGATCGGTGTATAGTCTCAATGTCCGTGACAACTGTGAGGCACTAGATCAGGAAGATTTTGTGTCTCCAGTAAATGCTGCCTGAGGGAATGAGGTGAAGGCAGAAGACCAGCAGGGGACCAGGAGGAGCCACCCACGGAAACAATAACACATCAAACCCACCCTGCCGTGGAACACCGAGCACCACTCACAACCTGGCAGGAGGCACAGAGGAAAAGAAACGTTGTTGCTGAGTTTGGAAGGTATCATCAGAGTTCCCAAGGTGGCAGGAGGAGGAGAGGTCGTCTCTTCATCCATACGATGGGTGCAATAATCTGGGTCACCTTTTAGTTTGCGATAACACGGAAGGAACTAGAGGAAGTTGTGTTGTGTGAAATAAATTGAGCACAAACGTAGACCACATATTCTGGCTTGTGTGCAGAAAGTGAAATTTGATCTAAAAGAAGCAGACAATAAGATATTGGTAAGAACTTTCAGAAAATGTCAGAGAGGAAGGGAAGGAGGGAAGACGGTTAAGGCGCACAGGGGGTGGTTGGATGAGGGGAATAATGTTTGAAGTACAGTAGATAAGTATAGTAGACACAAGTAACTGAATATTACAAAAGAGTGGGCTGCACATTTAGCTCAGCAGTTCCACTGCCCGCCTCGCAAGTGCAAGGTCCGCAGTTCAATCCCAGCACACACAAAAAAGAAAGTTATGGTGCAACAAAATAGAGAGCAGGCAGGATTTTGAAGGTGGCCAACAGAGATAAATTCTATACCCTGCAGACGTGCCTCGTGTGACCATTCCACCTCGTATGCATGCATCAAAGTATCACACCACATCTCAGAAATGTGTACAGACATTGTGCGTCAGTTGAAAAGAAAAAGAATTAAGCTCACTGGCCGAGTAGCCCATGCTTTAGTATGTGCCGCGCACATGGGGGTTTCCCCATCTGTCTTGGCACTTATTGTTATTATTATTGAACACTGTGCCTCCTCCCAAGAAGCGCTGACCTTGTTCAGCTCATCCCCCTCAGTCCTGCTCTGACACCCTGTCCGAACCAGCTAGAGCCAGTCTGTGCCCTCTCTGGCCTTGGCAGCCTGATGGCAAAGTTTTTAAAGTGTATTTATTCCCATCTCTACTTCCAGTAGCTTACGGCACTCTTTGCCCACTTGACTCCATTTCGGGATCAATCATTCTTTATCTCAGAAAACTGTCCTGTGTATTGCAGAGGGATTCATAGCCTCCCAGACCTCTGCTACCTCTCAGTGTCAGGTGCGCTACCCCTCCAATCGTGATAAATAAAAATATTCCATCATTGCCAAATGCTCCCTGCTGTACCAAACTACCCTCCGCTGAGAAGCCCTCACAGTGGATTTAAAGGGATCTGTAGGGACTTCACTCACTAACCCCTCTTCTGTAAATTTTGTAACTATGTACTGTTCCAAGTCAGCATAAATCCCAGGAGTATAATGACGATTTCATGATTCCATACAAAAAAAATAATAATCCTTCCCATTTACTATCACAAGCTTGGAGCCAAACATATGAATGGGTAAAATAGAATTTAGTGCAGGTCACTGTTGACAGGTTTATACGTGTCCAAAGAAACCTGATCTTTTCCTGCCCAAGCACATCTCCCCATCTGAGAGGACTCAGCACCACAGAGGGCTGACTCTGGAGCAGGCATCTAGCAGAAGTTTCCCAGGTTTAATGCCTTGAGTCCTCCAATTCTGGAGATGGATGAAGGTGATGGTTGCACAGCTCCGTGAAGGTACTTAATGCCACTGAACGGGACAGTTGAAAAGGTGAAAATGCTAACATTTGTTGGGCTTACTTTCTTGGAATAAGAAAGACTGCAAGTAGAGATTATTATTTATTTCTATTTGCTTATGAGAAAACAGAAATTCCAGTAGCTTAGGAAGGAGAGGGGGAGGGAGAGGCAGAGGGACAGAGGGAGGAAGGAAGGGAGAGGGGAAAGAACGGAAGGAACACACTCCAGATTTCATAAAAAATAAAGACTAAATTCCAAGGTCCCCATTTTTATATCAGAATTTTGCATCACCTCCAAACACTATATTATATGTACAGGATGAGAGAGAGAGAGAGAGAGAGAGAGAGAGAGAGAGAGAGAGAGAGGGATTGTCCTGTGCTTCCTCAGACTTACTTCCATGGTTCCCAGATAGCCCCCTTCCCACTGATGCATCAGAAAAAAAAAAGACAGAAAAAAACCTGGGCTTAAACATAATCCATCAAAGGTTTCTCTAATCCGTTGTGGCCCTTTCCACCCTCCCCTTTTGACATATTTTTCCCACACCCAAAAATAACTCTTTTGGACAAGATGGCTGCAGCCATCAGCACCCATCGAATCTCACTGGCAACTGCCCAACCGTCAAACAGGCAGAGCTGAAATAGGAAACGCACTTTGTTTCGCACTCTGCTCTGAGCTGCAACACCTCACGGTGAATCCTTCTTGAAAAGAAGTCCCTACAACTCTTTAGAGCTGGGGTTCAACCACTCTTCCCATTTTCCTCATGAATAACAAGAGTTGGGTCTTAAAGCCAGGAAAAGAACCTACATTTTTAATGTTCAAATTATCAGTAAAACTCACCTCTCTCCACTGCACCCAGGCGTGATCTCACTCGGAGTCACCTTCCTTACCAAACTGTGACACGACAGTTTGCAGGACACCATCACTTATACCGTTCGTGTAATTCCAATGCACAATTTCACTGCTCAGGGATCCACGACAGAGCTTGCCCAGCAAACAGTTGTTGAATGAATACATTCTGCAAGAAAAGAACTTTCTGTGGTGCTGATATTGTGGACAAATAAGCTCAAAGAGAGTAAGTCATTGACCTAGAGGCACACAGGTAGCTAAGGGAGTTCTCTGATTTCAAATACTGAGCTTCCTCCCTTGTCCATTCCATGGAAATCCTTCTTACCTTCTCTTTCTTGAAGTTCTGAGATAAGAATTCATCCAGGGCATCATTACTGTGGATGGCGAGGGTCCCCAGAAGGTGAGCTAACAGTGACCCCAACCCTGGCCAGATAAGTTTTCCTGGTCCCAGATCCATGGACAACGTCAGGTGCCCACTCCTCACTATGGCCAGTGTATTTTACCACTAGATATAAACACTACCACGTTATTGCATAAGTCCACTTGGGTTTACAGCAGAAATGACAAACCGGGAAAGATACACTCAGTCTAACAATCAAACATCACACTGCTCAACAGCAAACACCCAGATTGAAAAAGAATTCGTCTGTCTTCTAAAACATCCATACAGAGTCAACCAATGGGATTGTAGAAAACACCATCATTAATATTGCAGGTCTCGCCCGCTGCTAGTGTCTAGTATACAACTCACATCAGGACTGCCTGGGTCCCCACAACGCTTGATTCCAAATCCTCACTTTCACTCACCAGAATCTGTGCACGGAAAAAGTTGGGACTTTTCTCAATGCCCAGGAGTGTGTCAGCTCCTCTCAGTCTGGGGCAGTCCCTAATGAAACCTCCCCTATTCCTGCAGCATGGGCCTGGCCAGGAACACTTCCCTCTGTGAAAAAATAATGTCATCATCGGGGGGTGGAGGCTCCTGAGGAAGCTATTGCATCAGAAACCCCCTGGTTTCCATTTGCACTGGGGAGAAAATTGGCCACAGTGGAGGGCTAGAGCCCTTTTGGATTTGCATTTTCCCTGGAGGATCCTAGAAAAACAACTTTTACTCGTTTCTCAACTAATCCCAGGAAAGATGAACAGAGCTGACACAGTTAATTAAATATGGCACATGGCTTTGTCTTCTTGGGATCTAAGCAGGAGAAGGGGATGAGAGCATCCATTATTGCAAATGGATCCACACCCAACACACTTAAAAATAACTTGAGATCAGGAAACATCTGCTGAGTTAAATACTGAGGCGGCGTCGGTGGTGGAATAGCCCCAGGCCATCTTCCCTGGGCAGGACATGTCTTCCTCTAGACCCTTCTCAGCATCCCCTAAGACAGAAGAGAATCAAAGATATAGAGAGCTGACTCTGGTGTCCAGGAGACCATTGTGTGTCAAAGACCAACGCCAGCAGTTGAGCAGAGCCCAGCCCAGACATCCTGAGCAGGGCCAAAGCTGCACAAGGTAACAGGCAAGCTTCGGGTCTAAGGCAGTGGGAGTTAAAAGTGCAGACCGTAGCAAAGCCAAGTCAGTCTGGCAGGAGCTAGAAACAGGAGCAAAAGTGATCGTATTAAGATTTTGACATAACGTACGTAGCTGTCAGCACATTCCTGGTATCCTCTCAACACATTCTGGTTCCATGCAGATCTCCAACCTTCTTAGTGATTGATCCTACTACTTTTTAACTTGGAGCACACGTAGAGATTTCAAC